ACGTTAGACTTACCGGTCTGTAATCGCCGGGATCACCTCTAAAGCCCTTTTTAAATATTGGCGTTACATTTGCTGTCTTCCAGTCATTGAGTACAGAAGCCGATTTAAAGGACAGGTTACAAACCCTAGTTAATAGTTCCGCAATTTAACATTTGAGTTCTTTCAGAACTCTTGGGTGAATGACATCTGGTCCCGGTGACTTGTTAATGTTAAGTTTATCAATTAATTCCAAAACCTCCTCTAGTGACACTTCAATCTGTGACAGTTCCTCAGATGTGTCACCTACAAAAGCCGGCTCAGGTTTGGAAATCTCCCTAACGTCCTCAGCCGTGAAGACTGAAGCAAAGAATTTGTTTAGATTCTCTGCAATGACTTTATCGTCTATAAGTGCTCCTTTTGTATCTCGGTCATCGAGGGGCCCCATTGGTTGTTTAGCAGGCTTCCAGCTTCTGATGTACTTAAACATTTTGTTATTACCTTTTGATGAATGAAATGAAAACACTGATGCTTATATGACAATTAGTAAACTACTCTAGCCCCTTGTACGGCAGGCTCAGATATCTATCCTGATTACATCTTTGGTGCCAACAAGAGAAAGAAAGCCTGGTGATAAAAAATGAACATTAAAAACAAGTGATTTCAAGACAAAATATTTATTGTACTAAGCTTTCAAAGGGGTATCCATTTTCAATCCTTAAACAATACAGTAGATGTGTAATGGGCTAGTTACGTACTATTAGAAAACTGAATGCAGTTCCCTTAGTGATTTTTGTTCATAAATTAGTCAAGAAAGATAAAAATTTAGGACCTGATCCTGAAAAAAAAACCCCTTATTATTGGGCAGAGTCTCTTCAATGGGACTACACCCAGTAGCAAGTGAAAGTGTGTTCACAGGACTGGGCCCTTATCCTTTAGTGCTGATATTTATATCACAATATCATAATTAGTAGTAAATATTAATGAAAAAAATAATGCCAAGCCAAAAGTTCTCAAGCAACAACAACAACAACAAAAGTAGAAATGATGGAATAATAAATATCTACAGAAATGAAAACAAGATAAATTCCTTAATTACAGAAGTTTTGCATTTTATTGGGGAGGGGGAGGGAGAAAGTGAGTGGATTGTAGATTTGAGAAAATGATTCAATAAACAAACCTCCCTCTGGCTCGGTCACTGACGGGGTTTACATAAAAAAGGAGATCTAAAAATGTTCAACTCGTTATGTGGAGGAAAGAGCATGAGAATAAACAAATAATAAAAAAAAACATGCTACAGTACATATAATTCACCACTTTTAGCTTATATAGCCCTTTATGTATCTTACAAAATTGTATTATTCTACATACTATATGTAAAAATAAAATACAAAGGCAAATCCACCCAATTTGGTGTTTTTTTAAAAGTATAATTTAACATAAACAAACCCATTGCGAGTTATGCTGTAATGGGGAGTGTATGCTTCATATGTGCGTTAATATATCAATGTTTCCAACTACTAAAATAGCCTTTAAATGGTCTGAGCACAAATAATTTCTCACAGACCAGTTCTATCAGAGATTTTAATTCTCAAAATCCCACTGCCTCATACATTTCAAACTAACTCCTGACCCTTTTCATTACTCAGCACCATGTTCAGAAAAATAAGACAAAACATCCCCAATAAAATTATATTTTATAGCCCTGCATATTTGTAGACGTTTTAAATTATTTAAAAATAATTGAAAACATAATGGTTGGTTTGGCATAGGCAAAATACCAGCCCCTGTTCCGAAATATTTTTCTGTTTACATGAAGCTGCCTTACTGCTCTTTCTTATTTCAGAGTAAAAAATATCCAAAGCTGTATAATGCACTTTAAGCAAGGGTGACTGCTACTCCTAGGCCTATACCTTGACATCGTAAAGCTTCATAAAGGCTTCATGCTCAAAGCTCTTGGCCTGTAAACAACACAGCTGGTAACAGCAAGTAGTAATCAATCCCTATCTTGCTCCGGGATTAGGAATATGTATTCCAAATAGCAAGAGACTTCTCTTATTAGCTCCGTGCTGACCTCTATCAGTCTCTAGACAAACCTTATTCCCCAGGTCTCAACTATGGGTTGTCCCTTCATGTGCCCAGTCATATGCCTGTTCCTTAAGGCTAGATTTATTTTTTCTTTTAAATAAATAAAATCATGAGCCAGAAAGATCCAGCCATCCCCCCCCATCTCTCCTCAAAATGTTCCTAAAAGGGATATTCCAGCTGTACCCCAACAGTTGTGCAATAGAAGCACTCAAATTAACCTCCTCCATAACCTTTCTCAGTCCCTCCTTCCTTAAGGGGAGCAGAGAGAGGCAGCATGGACTCGGAGAAGCTTTCAGGCAGATTGGTCAGAAAGGGCTTGATCCAATCCCCACAGAAGTCTTTCAAATTAAAGAATGGGAACTTTTTCATTTACTTCAGTAGAAGTTGGATTGAGTCAATAGAGACCAGTTGACACATCAGGCACTGGTAGGCACTGAAATGAATGCATGGAGTACAATTCATTTGACAACAGACAACACAAACTTGAAGTACTGGGAATTCCCCCAATGTGTGGTATGCAGCTGAAGGTTAAGCTAGAAGAGCGTGACAGTTTTGGGCAGTGGCTGCCACAAAAATGGGCCTAAAATAAAATAAATGGAATAACACAGCACCTGGATGAACCATAGGGTCCCTATGCTAGAGTCTGTGCTGGTAAAACCCTCCTGCTTGTCCTTCCTAATAGAATTCGAGAACAGCAAGAGAAAGAGAGAAACGCAGAAATACAAAACTGAAAGCGATAAAAACGGAGGGGGAGGTAATGTACCCTTTTAAAATATGTTACACTTAAAAGATTAAATACCCTTTAAAAATTGATTTGAACTAGTCCAATATTTTGAGACTGTCTAAAAATCATATGATATTGTTAAATGTAGTTACTTAAAATGCCATTCCCCTACTCCCTCCTTGAATAACTGCTACAACTAGCTTTTCATTAATATTGCTTAAAGTAACTATCACCAAAAAGCATGCAAACATGTAAAAAGTCTTTGTAATACACACCAAGTAAAATCAAGTGTTTGTAGACATAGCTAGTGCTATTGGGGCTATCAGGGCCCAATCCAATTCCCATTGAAGCCAACGGGATTCCTTCCATTGTTTCTAGTGTGCACTGGATTGGGTCTTTAATGAGAGAGGAATTTCAGAATGAAAGATTACTAAATGTTGTTTATGTCTTGTACTATAGAAACACAAATAGATGCATACATATTATATAGATGCATACATATTATATATCTATATAATATGTATGCATCTATTTGTGTTTCTATAGTACAAGACATATATATATGGAAAAAACTTGCACTCATATATATATATATATATATATATATATGAGTGCAAGTTTTTCAT